CCCAGAATTCCTGAGCTAACATGACTGGAGGAGGAATTCTGGGAGTTGAAGTCCACAACTCTCAAAGCTCTGTCAAGTTGGAAGACCCCTGGCTTTATTTAACCCGTCAGAACTACCCTCAGCACCAGATGAACAAACTTTCCCCCCCGGAAAACCCAAAATCGAAGCAGCATGTGGGAGCCCCTTTCCAAGCAAAACATTAGAACATAGCATCAGATCTACAAAATCCTCCCTCAAAATAATCTTGAGTCAAGGGTCCAAGAAGTCGGGGCGTAATAAAAATAATAAAAAAAAAAACAAGGGTCCACCAGAGCCATCTTTTGGAAATCACCTCAGGCTACGTGAACAGGCTATACGGGCCACCATTAAATCAAGCGGGCCGCCAGGAAACTGCCCTGAACCGCTCCAGCGACAAGAGCGGCGGGACCAACTCCAGAGGCCGATGGGAGGAGAGAAAGGCTCGACCCGGAGGAGCCCCTTTTCCCTCAGCCGGGCTTCCCTCCGGATTAAGAGAGAGGCGAGGCGAGGCGAGGCGGGGCGGAGACACCGGATCCGCGCCGCGCCCGTTTTGCTTCAGCCCCAGCCGGGAGCCTTGCAGCCTATTTTCAGCCCTCGGACCGTACAAGGAGCGGAGAGGGCGGCGTGTAAAAGCAGGCCTCGGGCAGAAGGAAACCGAACCTCTTTTCCCCCCGCTGGCAGAGCCGGGCTGACGGGCTCGAGCCTGGCTCCACCATCCCCTTATGGCTCAATTCGCTTCCTTCCTTCTCCCCTCCGGGAAAAGGGGAGAAGAAACCGCCACCGCTTCCTCCTCCTCCTCCTCCCCTCTCCTCCCCACACGCGCGACCCTTCTCCTTCTGAGGTGAGGGGGAGGCCTCCTTTACCTTCTCCTCATCGGAGAGCTGGTCCTCCGGATCCGCCATCTTAGCTCTAGCTCCGCTCAGCCCACGAAGAAGAAGAAGCAGCAGCAGCAGCCCCGGAGACTCGCAAATCGTTTCGCTGGGGAGAAGGAAGAGGAGCAGCAGCCGCCGCCGAGGCCCAGCCGACCCGTTCTCCGCCCCTCAGTCAAACAGGAAGGGCGGGACTCGGACTCGGGGCGCGGCCTTGAGGCGAGGTCGGAGAAGGAGGGCGAGGCCCAAGCGTCGGGGGGAGCATGCGCAGACGGCCTTCCGACCGTTGAGGCCGCCGTCTTGTCAGAGCGGGGTTTCCATTTTAGTGGGTCTCTCTTGAGGCTGGCGAGCTCAGCCTCTGAGCCTTTACGCTTAATTTCTTCATGTTTTCAAATTACAGCCTCAGTCTGGGTCGTTCTGTAAACATTTAGTAGGCTACCTTCGGCCCTGTCGCCATGCAGGGAGGTGTCCCCTACCAGCCTAGCAACCCTCGTCTCTGTTTACAAGATAACAAGAGATTCCACCCTCTCGTCAAAACTGCAAAAATGTCATTTTTTTTGAACAACGCCAATTGTCTCATATCAGTAGCGCTGGTGGATACTTTCTATAGCAGGTCTAGCGAGTTGTTCGATGAAAGTGTCTATTGATGAGGTTGTAAACAAAAAGCACCTATGTCAATGGATTTAAATCAATCATTGCATTTTTAATGGGTACTAATCACACGTATAAAGATGAAGATACTGTAGGAAGCCCACCCACCCCCCAAATAATAATATCTGGGGAACATTCAAAGAGACAATAATATATTTCCCCAAAGGAGAAATAGAGAAACATGCTCTTAAAAGGCAGGAAGCATACCCAATCTTCCTGCATAGTGAAACCGCTTCCAAGAGGTGCCTGAAGTCTTTGGACGTGGATATTTTGTGCCCATTAAGAAAGACTGGGCCAATCTTTTCACAAAAAAAAACACTTTTTAACTCCAGATGATGGGATTAAGAAGGACAAGACATGACTTTTTGGGACATAATAGGATTAACTCGCCACCATTATAGAATAGCAAAAGGTATAAGGCTCGCTACCTCGCACAACTGCAGCATCTCAACCCTATAAAAATTCATGGACTCATATTTGTCAGCTGTTCTCAGAACTGCATGGTGGTGTTGGTTCTGCTCATCAATAAACAGTCCTTTCCAATCAGCCTCCCTTTTAATTTCCAGGGCCTTTCTCCCAGTTTGGAACTGAATCGGATTTTTCTTCCAACAATTTAGCATCCTAGATGGGATTCCAAGCTGACCAGCAGACCTGGCTTCCACCTTGCTGGTAGCAGACCCCTTGCATGTGGGTGAATTTGGCCATTTGGAGCAAGGGTAGTAAAGGGAGTTTTGAGTCTTGAGCTCAACAGGAATTTGGCCATTTGGA